CAGGAAGCCGAGGTCACATTTATCTTCACTACCGGTTCACACATGTGAGCACGTGAGGATCTTTTGTGCATGTGCAGAGCGTCAAAAATGGGACATGATTACGTCTGGGAGGGTGGGCAGAGCCTCCCACCGTCGCTACAGGTTCGTCTGAACCAGATAAAACCGGCTGAATACCACCACCGATTCAGTGGGTGTTTTTTAGGATGTGTCAAATTTTTCAACTTTCAATTTCCAAATATTAGGGGTGCTTGAAAGTTGTGACATGCCTTGGGGATTGTAAATATATTTCGGTTACTTTATAAATAAAATTTATAAATAAAATTTAGACGTGCTTGGTAAGTAACTACATAAATATCATAACTTTTTAACATTTTGTTTTGTTTCATTTGTTTTATTGAAATATTAGAGACAGTGAAGCTGGTGGGGAAACAAACAAAGTATGCTTCCATGTTCTTAAATGGCTTTAAGGGGCAGACAGGTTTCCTTGATCCAGGTTCAGCTCTTTGTAGCTTCATGGAGACATCTGGGTAGCTTTCTTGGCAGCAGTACAGAAATGTTTGCTAGCAGTTTTAAAACTTCCAAGCTCAGCTTACTCCTCTGGCACTTCTGATCCCAGAAACTAATTAGATCTGATGCAGCTCGGCTTTTTGAAGATGATTCAAAAAGATAAGGTGCTGCCAACTTCCTAAAACTTCTGGTGAGAGGAGGCTCAGCGTATAGCCTTTCCATCAAAAAGCAATTTAACAAATTAAGAACCTCTACTCCTGCTGAGTACAGTATATTTCTTTTATAACCGTTTGATTATAATAACAATGCTTCCTTTATCAAGGTAGGTAGTAAAATCAGAGCAATCTTAAGATCAGCTCTGGAAAGCAGACAATTGTATCGATTCCTCCTTCACTACAAAACAACCAGCTAACCCAAATAAGTAGTCGGTGCCAAATGTATTGCATTTTCCATAAGCGATAATAACATTTATTTCATTTGATAAGGATTGGATGGGTTTTCTCTCTCCTGAGTAATTGTACATATCTTAACATTTCCTCGTAATATTGTCAAAGGAATTAACTTTTCAAATCTTTTTTTTAAATAAATATTTTATTGATTTTCAATAATTAAAATACAAAAAGAAGAAAGTTTGTGCATAACTGTGACCATTTACATGACATATTACTATATTTCACTTATACTCTATACATTCTAACTAAATTCAATCCTACTTTATCTAATTTTTTTTTCTATTCTCAATCCATTTATACCATTTCTCCCATATTTTTACAGACAGATAAGATTTTTTTTTTTTAATTTGATTTATATGCCGCCCTTCTCTGGAGACTCAGGGCGGCTTACAATGCGCTAAGCAATAGCCTTCATACTTTTGTATATTTATACAAAGTCAGCTTATTGCCCCCACAAACTGGGTCCTCATTTCACCTACCTTAGAAAGGATGGAAGGCTGAGTCAACCTTGAGCCTTGGAGAGATTCGAACCAGCAGTAAATTGCAGGCAGCTGTGTTAATAACAGGGTGCGTAGACCATTGTACTATCAAGGCTCTTGATAGTTTTGATATCAAGGCTTTGATATCAAGGCTCTTGATAGATTTGAAAAGTTATATGGATTTGGAATATTATATAACTTTTCAATTCTTATCTTTCTGTCTATCCATCTGTTGGAGTAAAAATGGAATTGTTCTTTTAAAAAAGAAACTTACTTGATATTCAAGTCAAATGCAAACAATTATAACCGAGCAGCAGTGTAATATTTGATTGTTAAATCAGTTGGCATTTTACAGAAAACTGAATCCAACGCCTATTAATTTATCATCCTTCCATGGATTTGGTCACAATATTGTCAACTGAGGTGCAAATGAAACCTTCTTGAAGGGTTCTTGGTGGTCTCTGAGCTTGGTTGTTTTCTTGGCAGACCTTTTATTACCAAACTAGGTGACATCATCAATGCTTGTAAGGAGTGGGATTTGCTCTCAAGTTATATTCTACTGACTTGCCAGTGTTGGTGGGTCTTGGAGGTTCTTTGACTGGGCTGTTAACATCAAGATTAATATCAGACCAGCTATCAAGAAGTAAACCATACCCCACTCAAAGAACCATCAAACAAGCTAACAATAAACAGCCCTACCAAAGAACCTCCAAAATCACACCCACCAACATTGACAGGACAAGTCACTAGAATATAAAATGAGAGCAAACCCCACTCCCTACCAGCACTGATGATGTTACCTACTTTGGGTAATAAAAGGTCTGCCAAGAAAACAACCAAGCTCAGAGATCACCAAGCACCCTTCATTTCAGTCTTGTGTTACAAATACTCCCCTTTATGAAACCACCTTGGATGTGGTAAAATTCTTCTAGCAAGACTAAAATTTAAGCCTTCTGTGCATTTGGTATTAGGAAGGGAAATAGATAGGGCAAGGCATTAAGCGATTAGACATGGATGAGCAGATGGGCTTTAAAAAGAGATTAATTAAATGTAAATGCATAAAATAATTGTGTGAAAACAAGATTTAACTTTCCTCACGTTATAACTTGGAAAGAGGAAATTATATGGCTGCTGAAATCTGGCTGGCATCAAGAGAAGCTGATAGATCATGAACTGGGATAGAACAAAAAAACCTATAGGGCATAGAAGGCTGTTGTAAAAAGTTTAGATTGATGCTGGTTTTTAAAGCCAATTTTGATTTTAAAAAAGACACAACTAAGTGCTAATTATTTATAATTTGGGGTGGCTGAATGTTGCACTGGGCAATCTTTCTGGCATTAGCATCATCTTTAGCAGCAGTAGTTACACAGAATGGTTTGTAAGCCACTCAGAAGGTTGGAATCAAAGTGTGATACCATGAAAGCTGGACTGATTATTTACTGAGGAAGAAAAAGAATCCAGAGATCATTTAATTTCCTCAAAAGCCTGGCCTTTGTTCAAGGAAGATAATGCCAATTAATGGCAAACTCTGGAGGATAAAAGCAGCTGACTGGGACTGGCTATCTCGATGTTTGGAACAATCGAATCTTCTCATGTAAGGATTCTGTTTTTATTTATTTATTTATTTATTTATTTATTTATTTATTTATTTATTTATTTATTTATTTATTTATTTTTTATTTTTTATTTATTATATTTCTATACCACCTTTCTCCCGTAGGACTCAAGGCGGTGTACAGTCAAGAAAAATATAGACACACAAACATCATAAAATTGCTAATTAAAATTATTACTTAGTTTGGTCAATTAAATAAAACCCAGAATTAGATAACATTTTAAAAAAATCATTCACATGTTCATATGTTTAGCCCCGCCTGTTGGAACATCAGGGTCTTGAGGGCACGGCGGAAAGCACGGAGATCAGGGATATTCCGTATCTCCGGGGGCAGTTCATTCCAAAGGGTTGGAGCCCTCACAGAGAAGGCCCTCCCCTTGAATCATGAAGTCTCGAGATTGTGAAAGATTTCCATTTCTGCATAAGATATTTCTAGAGCAGGCGTGTCAAACTCGATTTCATTGAGGGCCGCATCAGGGTTGTGTTTGACCTTGGGGGGAGGGGCAGGGGGGCATGGCCAGCTTGACGTCACTCATGTCAGGGGGCACCTGTGGTGGCCCGAGCGCTTTGCCGGTGAAAACGGGCTCCTGATCTCCATTTTCAGCTGGGATGGCTTCTTGCAACCCTCTGCCAGCGAAAATGGAACTCGTGTGTGTGTGTGGGGGGGCTGCTCCATTTTTGCTGGCCCAAGCATCACGGGCCAGTCCTTTGCTGTTTCCAAGGCAGCCCCGCAGTCCAGATCTAAGCATTCCGTGGGCCAGATCTGGCCTGTGGATCTTGAGTTTACTCTGGTTCCAACTTTGGATTGGCAGTCTCCTTCTTAGCCTAGTACAAGGTTTTTGCTGGAAGCAAGATACTGTATTTTTTGGAGTATAAGACGCACCGGAGTATAAGACTCACCTTAGTTTTTGGGGAGGAAAATTAGAAAAAAGCTGATTGGCAGATGGATCAGCCTCCCGGAATACCCCCAATCAGCTGTTCCCAGAGGTGAATCTTAGCAACAGGTTCCTTGGTTGTGAGCTCTGTGCCTTGCTTTTTTCCCTGCCTCTGAAAGCCTCTGAAACAGAGCTTCAGAAAAAAAAGCCTCTGAAGCTCTGTTTGGGGGTATTTTTTCTGAAGCTTTTTTTCCTGTTGCTTTTTTCAACCTCTGAAACCTCCATTTGAGAAGCTGGGTGGGGCTACATTCGGAGTACCCAGATTTTCACCCTCTTTTTTGAGGGAAAAAGGTACATCTTATACTCCAAAAAATACGGTATATAGAAATGATTCTGCTGGACCTCTTAGCAGCTCTTGTATTACTGACCAAGGATGGACAACTATGTCCCCTTTATGACCTGAGAACTTCAACTCCCAGAATTCCTGAGCCAGTTGAAATCCAAAGGTCATAAAGGGGCTGTGCTCACTTCTGAACAACCTTGCTGGATTGAGGCAAGATCCTGGGGGAGGTTTATTTTATTTTTTTTATTTATTTTGTCAAACATGTATAACAAGAATAAGTATAAACATGGATATTAATACAGGAAATGGGTACGGATAAATGGGGACAGTAGGACAGGGACGGAAGACACGCTGGTGCGCTTATGCACACCCCTTACAGACCTCTTAGGAATGGGGTAAGGTCAACAGTAGACAGTTTAAGGTTAAAGTTTTGGGGAGTTGAGGATGTAACAACAGAGTCAGGTAATGCATTCCAGGCGTTGACCACTCTGTTGCTGAAGTCGTATTTTCTGCAATAGAGTTTGGAGCAATTTACCTCGAGTTTGTATCTATTGTGTATTTGTGTATTATTGTGGTTGAAGCTGAAGTAGTCATTGACAAGTTGTTGTGTGGTGATTTATGTTTCTCCTTGTGGATAGATTTTAGACAGTATGTTTGGGGAATCTTCCTTGACTTTCATCTATGAATCTGGTATTTCAGTATCTGCACAAAATCACTCGGAGAAGCCACTTGATTTCACAAACTCAGTTTCTTTATTGTCAAAACACAAAATCTTGTCAATTACACCCTGAGAAAGGGGGCAAAAATGGGAAAAGCAGGCAGGGAAGGGACATTTCTCAAGAATTTCTTCCCCACCTCCCAATAAACTACAACTAGCTTTACTATGCTGTAGCTACTCAAAATAAGAATTTCATGCAGGTTTTTTTTTTTTTTTTAGATTTTTAAAAAATAAGGCAGCAAATAAACCCACGTTTTACTTTTACTAAGTACTCCTAAGGGCGCCAGGTTGGTTCCATGGGCAAAGATTAAATATAGGTTTCCATTTAAATACACAACACAGTTACACTTCGTTCACAGATCTAGAAGGGATGAGTAAATTATAAAAATGATTGTATCACCTGCAAAGTTCCGGTCCTTTTATTTTCTCAAATGGGAATAAACTCATTTCTGGTGAAGAATATATAATGGCGATTTGACATTACTGTTTGGATCTACCGTATAATCTTCTGAATTTTGTTAAATTCAAAAGTTGAAATTATATTCCACCAGTCATTTTGTGTCTTTTTAAATCTCCCTGCTAAATTTAGCAAGATTCCATTCAGGGTGCAAATCTTTAACCCGCTGGGAAAGAAGACTCCATTAGTAGCCACTATCTCAAAGCACAAGGAGTCTTTCAAAAGGCTCAACTGATTAAAATGTAGGTAAGGAAGGAGCCATGGAGACGTAGAACTTTATCAAAGGAAGCCTCACTTCTTTTTCTATGCCAGTTGCTCTGTCACATTTGCTTAAATGTCTTCTGGTTTGGAAGTGTGGATAGTCGGCTTGTTCCCAAGTCACATACTCATACGTTCAAGCTAAGGGCTGAACAGGACAGCACAGAAGATAACTGACCAGTGAAACATCAGCTTTCTATCTCAAGGCAAATGTGTTTATGTGGGAGACAGAGAATAAATGTCACCTAACAGCATAGAAGTTGGATCAAAATCCCTTCCCGACTTAGAGTAATTAAGCAGCCCAGTTGCAGCTATGTAGATAAAGGGGTGAGGAGTCCTTGGTGCTCTCTGAACCTAGTTGTCTATGGAGATTTTCAATCATCCAGACCAATTGACTTTTCAACAGGCAACTGGACTTCCTTTGTTTTTGCTTGAAGACATTTCGCTTCTCACCCAAGAAGCTTCTTCAGTTCTGAGCCTGGTTGTTTTCTTGCAGATGTCTCATTACCCTAACTGGGTAACATCATCAGTGCTAGTGACTAGCATTGATGATGTCATGTAATTTGGGTAATGAAACCTCTTGCAAGAAAACAACCAGGCTCAGAGAGCACCAAGGACTCCTCATTTCAACCCTGAGCTACAAATACTCTCCTTTGTAGGCTTGCTTGGTTTTTGAAGACTGGGATTAACTAGTCCAAACTCTGGATGTATCTCCTTTAGTTTTCTTCACAGGAATATCCAGCAACCATTCTTTGGGTGAGAAAAATATATTTCATACAGTCCTCAGCTAAAGGCAGAATGTGCATGATCTGATCCTGGCACTCTACCTATGTATCTGTGTACAGAAATACCCGGCAATTCCCAAGAATCTTTATTGTTTAGAAATTTCCACTAGTATTATTTTGATTGGTGAGTGTGTCCTCCGGGACTGTGTTTCTAAAGATGTTCCTGCAAAAATGGCACTACATGCAGCTGTCAATTTCAAGTTGTACTGTAACAAGGAATGAAATAGAAAACTCAGTAATTGAGGACAACAAAAGTAATCCCGGCTGAAGCTTCTTCCTTCAGGGTGAGATTAAGAAACAACAGAGCATTTCATTTCAAGAAAGATACAGTGAAAGATGCTTTATAAATAAAGGGGACAGAATCCATAAATGCACCTGTTTGATGTCACAGGCTACTGGAAGCACAAACCACTGTAAATCAAATCACTGCCCCAGATTTAAATATTGGTTCATACAGCACAAAAATTATCAGAAGAATTTACTTCCAGGCAGATGATAATAGTTTTGTACTAGGATTAGATTTACATCCACATCTTTACAGAATCTCTTAGTTTATGTAGGCGAAGAGCAGGCGGAACTGGTGAGTGGAGTTAAATGTGTCATCAGCTTAGAGTTGTTATGTTCCCAGAAGCGGTCCAAGTCTAAATTCTGTTGACACTTCTCGCCAATTAAGTACTGAATTTTAGTTGACTATGTTCTTCTGTGTAGGCTTGAATAAATTTTCTGTGTTGCAACTTAACTTATGGTCCTGATCTTTTGTACCTGACAGCTAATGGGTTATATTTTATACTCCTGGGACCACATTAATCTTTTAGAGTGTCTCTGAATCTAGATGTATAGTTATCCTCGATATATTTGTTCTTTGCGAGCACTGTAAGTAAAGAAACAAGTGCTCGTTTTCCTTGCATACAAGTGGAGAAGATAAAACACCAAAGAATTGAATCTAAATTCAGCCAAGTTAAAAACTGTTCTTTTTTCATGAACTTGCAAGCAATTTTCCAACCACAGATTGGTTTCCTCTTTTCTCAGCCATACAAGGTGCCCATTCACACCATCTAATCATCTCCTTGGCATACCGTTGGTCACTTTTGCCCTTCCTTTTTTCTCTGTGGTTACAGCCTAGAAAGGCAGTGTCCTCCCTTCTCTCCTTTTCATCATTCAATGAAAAGCGCCCTCTCTAGTCACATATTTTCTATGGATCCGCGGTTTAGCAGATAATAGTTCTGGCTGCAACCTCCATCACTTTGCAAAAGAAAAAAAAAAACTCACACTTTTTGCATAAACCTAACACATGCAGAGCGATGCAGCTTAGGAGTGGCTTAGCTCAGCCAACATGGCATATCTTTTCCCTCTTTCACTGCAACCTCCTACGGCCGCAAATCCAGGTCAGACATGGCTTCCAACTTGGGAAACAGGTGGAGATGTCAGAAGGTCAAACTTGATCAGTGGCTTGGCAATCACCCGAACCTCCTCATTTAATGGGTTGGATTTTAAGTTCACACACTGCAGAGACCCCATGGAAGCAAGTTTCTCAACAGGAACATCTGTAGGAAGAAGAAACGTAACGTCAAACGCAATTCATCTACCAATGCTTCTTTTAAAAGTGAGAAATCGGTTAATGTTGCTAACAATCAAGATATATATTCAATATATTCAAAACATTAATTTGAAATGCATCTGAGGAATGTAATGCAGAGACAAAGCTAGTGATATTTTTATATGCCTTCCCTGCAGAAGGCCCCAGGTTCAGCCTTGGACACCTTTAGTTGGGCTCCGAAAGACATTACACCAGGGTATATCACTGCCAGTCAGCTATTCAGATCAGTGGTAGGTTCCTCCTGGTTCGGTCCGGTTCGGCCGAGCCAGTAGCGGTGACGATATGATGTCACCGAACCGGTTCTCCCCCCCCGCCCCCCAACCCCCCACATTATTCTTACCTTTTATTTGGTCCCACCCCCAATCTATTGCTGCCTCCCTGAGTCCCAGCTGATGACTAGAGGGAAAAAAAACTGTTTAAACTCTTGCCGCGGGGCTTCAAAGGGCCGTCCTACAGCTGATCAGTGTTAAAAGCAAACAAATGAGTCGGGTCGTAAGTGCGAGGACTGGTCGTAAGTGCGAGGACCTTCCAGAAATGACTCTGACCAGCTAGCCACGCCCACCTAGTCACATGACCCCCCAAGCCACACCCACAAAATAAGCCACGCCCACAGAACCGGTAGTAAAAAAATTTAGAACCCACCCGATTCAGACCAAGATTGTCCCCCCAAAATATATTTAAGGATTCATTACATAGTCTCCTGTTAAATTTACATCCCTACAGAGTTAGGGCAGGTGCAGCCACCCATGGATAGGAAGGCTATAACCTGGACTTCCAGGGAAGCAATGACAGATTAAAGACAGCTTTGCTTTTGACAGAATTGATGACTGTCACAGAACAAGGCACCAATAGGTGGATTGACACCTCAAAACATTTCCCCAGATCAGGGGTGGGTTCTAAATTTTTTTACTACCGGTCCTGTGGGCGTGGCTTATTTTGTGGGCGTGCTTGGGGGGGTCATGTGACTAGGTGGGCATGGCTAGCTGGTCAGAGTCATTTCTGGAAGGTCTTCACGACCAGTCCTCGCACTTACGACCCGACTCATTTGTTTGCTTTTAACACTGATCAGCTGTAGGACGGCCCTTTGAAGCCCCGCGGCAAGAGTTTAAACAGGTTTTTTCCCTCTAGTCATCAGCTGGGACTCAGGAGGCAGCAATAGATTGGGGGTGGGACCAAATAAAAGGTAAGAATAACGTGGTGGGGGGGAGGGCAGGGGGGGACAACCGGTTCAGTGACGTCATATCGTCACAGCTACCGGCTCGGCCGAACCGGACCGAACCGGGAGGAACCCACCACTGCCCCAGATAAAGGAGAGGAGCTGGGATCACCCATAAATTCTCTACACAGTTGCTCCCTGCAAAGAAACCATAAAATAGCAGTCTCCTACAGGTTTGTATTATTACCTGATGTTGAGAACGATTGAAGGCAAAAGCAAAAGGAAATTACAGAGGATGAGATGAGATTTGGGCAAACCTCGGAAGATAGTGAAGGATCAGGGGGCCTGGTGTGCTATGGTCCATGAGATTGCAAACAGTGGAACATGACTTGTGACTTAAAAACAACAACACAGGTTTGAAGCATTGGGAGCTGAAGGAGAGTCAACTTTGTTCAAGCTGCAGCTCGGAGCTTTCAAATGAAATTAATTTGTGGGAAACTCTTTCAAGAGATTAAAGATGAAGATTTTATAAAATCTTTTATAAAAAAAAATCAATAAAGTGTAAATAAAAAAAAAGAAAAAAGATGAAGATTTTTTTATATGTTTTTTCTGGTAGTTCTAAATGAATGTGTATTGAATAAGTTCAAATGATGAGGCTTTAAATATTTGTTTATACATAAGAGATAAGATACGGGGTATAGAATTTTTTTGTTGTTGTGTTTTTAAAGAAAATAAGCTACTGTGTTAAAAATAAAGAAGTATGAACCTGATTTACTTCATTAAAGTTAATATATACATGTTGTTATTTCTGGTAACTCTTAATGGAGTTTTGCTGATTTAAGATTGAATGATAAGGCTTTATCATTTGTGTACAGATAAGAGGTAAGATATGCAATGAAGAGATCTTTGCTTGAACTCAAGGTGCCTTTTCAAGTGGCAACTGGACTTACTTTGTTTTTCTTGAAGATATTTTGCTTCTCGTCCAGAAGCTTCTTCGGTTCAGTTGCCTTTTGAAAAAGCACTTTTGGGACCAAGAATCTCCACAGACATTTAGCTATATTTGGTTGAAATGTTAGAGATGGTGATAAGTTATTGAAATTGTCTTGATGAAAAGGGAAGTCATTTATCTTTTTTTCTTGTTTCTGATTTCTTTGTTGTTCTCTTCACTTTTTTTTACTTTTTATATTTTTCTTCGTCTTAGTTTTAGCTGTGTATTTTTCAACTTTGATAAAAATTATTATATATAAAAAGGCTGTAAGCTAATTCATGCATCTTGAAGCCTGAAGTGAATGCTAATAATGTAAATTAAACTAAGCCAGATTGACTTTTGGTTTAATTTAATAAAAAGCAGCTTTCTATTTTTCTATTAAACTCACATACAGATGGAAAAAGCACCTCTATTTAAACAGAATCCCTCAAACCTCAGATCATACTTTGAAACAAAAACTTTAAGTTTGAAATAAGTATTTAAATGTTTTTATAGCCATGCTATGGACCTAAATATTTGTAAGTAATTTTTAGTAGTCTGAAAAATACTTGGTTTTGCCCTGTGATGTGAAAACAAATTTGTTCCTACTGATGAGTTTTTACTCTTATACTCTGTAATAGATTGATCCCCTTTCAGAATGCCAAGGTCTCCAGCATATCCACATTGTCTCAAGTGAAAAACCTACTTAATGGAAAAGCGAATTTTCTCCCATCTTTATGTAAATTCAGTGCTTTTGTCTGGCTTTATCAGTGTGGTACAATCTGTTCTAAAAATCCTAGTTGTTATTACCCTTTCTGAGGATTTTTTTACACCAAAGAAATGATTTAAATTGAGCTAGTATGCATTAAGCAAAATGAACTTGGTAAGTACCTTGGATGGGTGACTAGATAATAATCCCAGAATTGTAAACTAGACTAAAGGAAAGAAATAATCGTAGGAAAAAAGCTTATACATTTAAATTATTTATTTTTTAGGATTAACAATTCTTTCCCATCAATTTGCAAGCAATAGACATAATTTGAAATAAAGATACAATACATATTGCTAAAGAAATAAACAAGCATATATCTCAGGCTTAATCCCCAAATGGCACTTGGTAGTAATAATTTTTTGGGATAAGGCAGGGGTCTGCAACCTTAAACACTCAAATAGTTATTTAGACCCGTTTCCCAAAGAAAAGAAAACACCGGGAGTCACAAAAACCTTCCCGTGCCTGACTATTTCTTGAGCAACCACAAAACTAGCATATGTAGTTGAAATAAATGTTGTTTTCTTCTGAATCTTATTTTTTTCTTGGATTTATCCATGATTAGCCTACTGGGGGGTTGAAAAGCTCAATAAATCATGTGCCGGTGGGTGTCACACATTGGCGGTTGTGACACATATTTTGAGTGACGGAGAGCCGCAGCAGAAAGGTGAAAGAGCCACATGCGGCTCCAGAGCCGCAGGTTGCTGACCCCTGGGATAAGGGAAAAAAATCAGTGCCAATTTCCTATTATTGCCTTTTCATTAGTGAGCTAGAGCAATTTGTAGATAAAATACAGGTTTCTAATTATATAATTATGGAAACATTTCACCATCTCGCTATTTTAGACTGTATTGCGAGAAAGACAGTTAATTATGTTTCAATCTGGTTGTTAATATAGATAGATAGATAGATAGATAGATAGATAGATAGATAGATAGATTGATTGATTGATTTGTGGCTTGCTTTTACGACAAACTGTTTTTATTTCGGAAAGTGACTTAAAACTCTAAACTATTGCTGGGTTTCTCTTTCAACATGAAAGAGCAGGAGGGTGGGAACAAAGATCAAAAGTAAAATTAATAAAATTACTGTTTTGAAGCATGACAGTCCTACCCAAGGTCCAAGACAGTCCTACCCAAGAACCCAAAGGGTTCTTTGTATCTTTTATGGGGTTGCTTGCATATACATTATGCATACTTGCACATTTATGAGTTTTTTTTCCCTCGGGGATATCACGTAGGAATCCTTCAGTGAAATATGCATCTTTTTTCCCCCCCCACTGAATATCAACATTTTTCAAAAATAGGAACGCTTTTGCTAGGAAATGAGGAGGAATGGGTGAGAATTCTTTATTTTTATTTTTTAGGGCAGCCATCGCTACCCAATTAGAGAAAACCTCCATGGAAAAGCGGGGGGGGGGGAGCAAATAAAGTTGTGAATTAAAATGAAACATTCTAGCATTTATACAAAGCTAAAAATACATGGCTTTTGCTTTGCTCACTTTTGAAGACTGGCCTTTCTTTATTTCAATTGCAGTAAATATTGCCTGCCCCACTTTGGACTTAGCAGTTTTATCAGGTCAGAGGACAAATTCTGAAAGAAGCTTTCTTTATTCCCTCAAATTGGAAAATCATTTAAGGGCAGGAGTTATCCAAAGCTTTTTGTTGACCACTGCAGATTTTTTTTTTTTTTAAGTTAAAGGAATCAAGGGAAGTGACAGGTTATGGATGGCCTTTCAGTGCGCTTTCAAAAAACACATATTAAAACAGAGGACTCTGGGGCAAAGTATCCTTCAAAAGCTGAAATAGGAAATCAGAAAACTCAAGCTGGAAACGGGTTAGAGTTGTTTAGCAGATGAGAAAATGTATGCCTCCCAAATTAAGGAAGGTCGTAGTAGAGCATAAATAGTAGAAGAACATTTTTTTAAAAATTTATATGCCGCCCTTGTCCGGAGACTCAGGGCGGCTTACAAGGCGTTAACCAATAGCCTTCATACTTTTGTAATCAATAAATATTTCCTATGTCCATTGGAATTTTGTCAAGAATGTAGTTGAC